CATCCATCCATCCATCCAGCCTTCATCCATCCATCCATCCATCCATCCATCCATCCATCCATCCATCCATCCATCCATCCACCCAAGGGATGAAATATGAAGTGTTGTCTTCTTTTTTATCAACTTTTAAAAATATTTAGACATAAGGCCTGTCTATGGAGACTGCATTGCATTTATACAAGAACACAGAAGATGGTTTTCATAGGTTTCAGGCACTTGCGTAACTTTCTGAAGGACTGGTGTGGACATGCCTCTTACAACTTTGGCATGGAGGGGAGAGTTCCCACCAATAATTTCTGCTTTTCCCCCGTTTCCGCTGATTTACTTCAGCCAAAGGTAACTGGGGTTGGGTGCAGCTAACTGTGTTCAGAGCGTTTTTTGTTGTTTTTTACTCGCTCTCCCACTGCTCTCAAGTCCAACCTCTCAGTGAAATATCATGAAATACCATCTTTAACCAGCAGCTACTTCAATATATGTTTCAGCAAAAGTTAAGAGACTGTTTGGTTAAAAAAATTAGAGATCGGTTCGTTACACGTGCTGAGCTTTTTCAGCTAAAAATGGCAATAGAGACTACATTTATACAAGTTAAAAAAGCAGGACTTCTCAGAGGACCATTACTCAGAGTTACAGATTAAAATGAACACATATCTGTTGTTTTCTTATTGAACAGAGAATCAGGCTGCAAAGCTTCTATATATCCTGAAAATGATTTTCTCTGGCATCATTATATTGGTAGACAGATTCATAAATCTGTTTTTAAGCAGAGCAGAGACATAATTAGGGACAGCTGCAGATTTAAAGGGGAAACAGATTTACTGGGATATGCAACATGCAATAAAATAGATCTCCAAGTTTACCAGAAAAAAATATGCAATAATATTGTAATATTCAACATATCTTTTTGTTTTTTGTAGTTCAGCAAGATTCAGAAATAGCTGTGCCAGCCAACCCAGAGACAGCCAGACCCACAGGACACAGACTGAAAATTAAAATATAAGAAACCTGCAAGAATTAAAGCACAAATAATAAAAATCACTGGATGAATGATTTTTGAAATCTAAGGTTCAATATATAGACTTTGGCTGTCAATGACGTATGGGTCAAATTTCTAAATTAGATTTTGCTGCTTGTGAAGGAGGATAATCACTGATGCAGCTTTAAGGGAAGCCATGATGGATGGATGGAAGTGAAGTTGTGTCCATACTAAGGATGTATGATATATTGATGTCGGCATCGGTATCGTCTGTTATTCGCCTTTTTTTATACATTAATGTTTTTGAGCCTTTTATAAATAATGCACTGTAATCAGCTGCAGGCATCTGTCTATAACTATAAATAATAGTGTATTGTGGTACTCTTATGTTCTCAACAATAGGAAACCATTCAATAAATATATGTTTGGGCTCATTTTTGGAAAATATAAACCCTATTTAAAGCGTTGGGGTTGAATAGCTGTAGGTCCATCAACGGCTATCCTTAGAGCATCCCCACCAAATTTAATCCCAAAGTTACACCCTTGGTTTGAGGCCAGAACACACTGAATCCGATTTTGCATCCGATCTATTAGAAAATCGCGTCGGATGAGGTTGTGGCATTTACTGCTCATTAAAAGTTAATGGGGATGATCACACCCGACACGATTTTACGCAAGTGGGCTTGCATAGGTCCGACTAAGATAGAAAGATAAAAAACGAATACTTTACCCATGATTGAATTTCAGGAGGACAGAAGATGGATAGAGCAGTGATTCGAGCCGTGCAAAAAGAACGAAGGACAAAAAGCGCAGTATATCAATCTCCACAAAAAGAAAAATAACTGCAGGAGAAAAAACGGATATAGTAAATTTGTCTTTGAGCCTCGCCAAAAAAATAAAACAAAAAAACGAGGGGCAGACAAAGCAGGTAAGCACGGTCTATCTCTCTCACCTCTGTATGAAAAAAAGAAAGAAAAACTCAACAAGCTTCACAGATTTCTCACTCAGAATCACTTCTCACTGCCTTAGCCAGCATATAAACGGCCCCATGGCTTTTATTGCTGTTTTTCTTTTCTTTAGACATACATCGCATTATGTTTTTATATAGGCATATGAACATTCTCTATCTGTTCTGGTTT